ATGCAGTCAGAAGTATTATTGAGCACGTTCGTTGTTATAGCGTTTGTTTAGCGCGATTGTTGAAGTTGAGTGTATCGGTAAAGTTATATTCGGAAAGAATAAACCAGTTTTATTAAGAAAGGACTTGTGTCGCTTAAGTTTCGTCGGAACGAAGTTACGGAAAATCAATTAACAAACGGAGACGTAACAATATATATTCGCTTATCAGACTTCGTTTTTCCAATTAGTAAAAAATGTTCTGCTTAAAGTAAAAAGAAAAGGATAATGGGCGAAAAGTATTATGTTATAACCATTTTTTGCTAAAATTGTTTAAGTTCATTAAACCAATATTAGTTATAATTCAAGGATACTGGCATAGGTTTTCAGGTTTATACTAATGAAACCTTAGTAATTACAGAGGGTTAAGAACATTATATTAAAAATATTTTGCATATACAAATCAGACTCTTACGTGACACCCACACCACAGCCGAAATAAAGTCGCGGTAAAACAGATTGTATCCCGAAAATTAAACACTTTTGGAAAAGGTGTATAACAGCCCTTTCTGATGCAAAATATTTGTATACTCATTTCATAAAGATGTATTCAAATCGGGGATTTATAATTTTTAAAACGGGGATATTCCTTGTATTTAATATCATTAAAAACATAAGAATATGGGTCAACTTAGGAAGGTAGGATCATCCATAAGAAGATCTGTAACAAGTCGTACCCCAGCTGTGGGAAGTAAATTGAGATGTCTTGTAATAGGTGAGAACTCACGATCATAAAGGCTACTGGTAAAAACCATCCACAAGATCCAGGCAACAGTAACAACATAATTAAGAGGGATCGTAGTATGAAAATGAGGCCAACGTGGTATGGGTTCCACAGGATAAGGTTTATAATAATATCTTCCTTCAACTGTCACATATTTGAAACAGTTGGAAAATGAAAATGGTATTCATGCTGCACAAATCATCAGACGCATTGGGAAATTGTTGCCTATGTACAATATATTTCTTAAAAAAGTAAACATAGAAGAGTGGTGTGCTTTGGACACGACTGGGCCTTTTGCAATAGAAATTATGCTACGGGGCTATTGTCAAGATGCACAGCCGTGAGATAGAGCATGACCAATCGTGACAGTATAGACTGTAACTACAAAGTGAGGCACTAAAATAGTTTTAATATAACTTTCTCAACCACTGTAAGCATATATATATATCCCAAATTAAATTCCAGAACCTTGGATAAAACTCTGAGTGTTAACTATATATATAATTTGAATTAAAAAAAATCATACAACTTACATAGTTAAACAAATTGAAGCTTAACTGGTCATTGTATATAGCAGGAAATTTGTATCTTATGTTTTCCCTCTTATTTACTTTCGAAAGCAACTGTTAAATATTGTATTAACTTTATCAAACACATAGTTGAACAATATGCCTTTAAGCATCTTGTGGAGTCTATATCATATTTACCTCAAGCTATGAGTTTGGGTGGGGTTCCTAATAAATTGAACGGTCAATTACCTTTTAGTAAAACAATAAAGCCAAATTACTAGCTAAATTAGAAAAGAAGAACACATCCTAACGAAACCCCATTTTAAATATCTGACAATATGCAACGCAGCGAAGATAAAATCACTACTTGGGGGAACCTACTTTGAAAGCTCTGCTGTATAACCTATTAGTAGAAAGAATATACTAACCATCGTATACAAGAATTACTTGGTAACCATCGTCAACCGTCATTACAGCTTGAAGAGAGATCTTCAACTGAGGATGACCAGGGAAGAGATGATACAAATCCATCTCTATAGGAAGATTTTTGGGGTCGTTGAAGTTAGGTTGACTATAGACTAACGCTTTAATTCCGCAGAATAACACATACTTCTTCTGGTACATCCCGAGAAAAGACGAAAAGAATTGGAGAGAACCAGCTGCATCTACCAAGTTCCTCGAATTAAGTAAAGGTTTATTTGGAATAGATGTTTGAAATGCTGTAGTAGTCGACATTACATCAGAAGTAGTTGCTTCAGTTGATGTTGTAGTCGTTCCTTTACGTGTAGTTTGAAATGGTGATGTAGTCGTTGTCGTATCACGTGTAGTTCTTTGAGCTAATGAAGTAGTCTTTGATACTTCAGGTGGAACTATTTCATCTGATATTAAATTCGCTGTTACTTTAGGTGTAAGCATTCGGAATGATGTTAGAGTCGTTGCCATGTTAAGCGTTGTTGTCTGAATTGGTGATGCAGTTGCTGTAACTTTAGGTGTAGTTGCAATGAATGGTGATGTAATCGTTGTTAATTTAGGTGTAGTTGTTTGAACTGGTGATGTAGTCATTATTATTTTAGCTGGTGATGTAGTTGTTGTTACTTGAGACGTAGTTGCTTGAATTGGTGATGTAGTCATTGTAACTTTAGCCATAGTAATTTTAAATGGTGGTGTAGTCGTTGTTACTTTAGGAATAGTTGTTTGAACTGGTGATGAAGTCGTTAATGTTTTAGATGTAGTAGTTTGAATTGGTGATGAGATCGTTGTTACTTTACGCGAAGCTGTTTGAATAGGTAACATAGTTGTTGATATTTTAGGCGTAGTTGTTTCGACTACTGATGTAGTCGTTATTATTTTAGCTGTACGTGTTTGAACAGGTGACGTTGTTGTTTCTTTAGATATGGTTGTTTGAACTGGTGACGTTGTCGTTATTAATTCAGGAGTAGTAGTTTGAACTGGTGATGTAGTCATTTTAACTTTAGGCATAATAGTTTTTATTGGTGATGCAGTCTTTGTTACTGTAGTTGTTTGAACTGATGATGTAGTCATTATTTCTTTAGACATAGTTGTTCGAATTGGTGATGTATTTGTTGATATTTCAGGAGTAGTTTTTTGAACTGGTGATGTAGTCATTATTTCTTTAGGCATAGTTGTTCGAACTGGTGATGTAGTCGTTGTATTTAGTACGTAGTTGTTTGTCTAAAATATCAACGACTACATCACCAGTTCCAACGACTACATCACCAGTTCAAACAACTACCTACGTCTAAACTATTATCAACTACTACATCACCAGTTCAAACAATTTTTAGACGTAGTTGTTTGAACTGGTGATGTAGTCGTTGATAGTTTAGACGAAGTTGTTTGAACTGGTGATGTAGTCATTATTTCTTTAGGCATAGTTGTTCGAATTGGTGATGTATTTGTTGATATTTCAGGAGTAGTTTTTTGAACTGGTGATGTAGTCATTATTTCTTTAGGCATAGTTGTTCGAACTGGTGATGTAGTCGTTGTTATTTTAGACGTAGTTGTTTGAGCTGGTGATGTAGTCGTTGATATTTTAGACGTAGTTGTTTGAACTGGTGATGTAGTCGTTGATATTTTAGACGTAGTTGTTTGAACTGGTGATGTAGTCGTTGATATTTTAGACGTAGTTGTTTGAACTGGTGATGTAGTCGTTGATATTTTAGACGTAGTTGTTTTAACTGGTGATGTAGTCATTGATATTTTAGACGTAGTTGTTTGAACTAGTGATGTAGTCGTTGATATTTTAGGCGTAGTTATTTGAACTGGTGATTTAGTCGTTGTTATTTCAACTGTAGGTGTTTGAACAGGTGATATACTCGTTGTAACTTTAGGCATAGTTGTTTGAACTAATGATGTAAACGTTGATATTTTAGGTGTAGTTGTTTGAACTGGTGATGTAGTCTTTGTAACTTTAGGCATATTAGTTCTTTGAACTGGTGATCTAGTCGTTATTTCAATTGCAGGTGTTTGAACAGGTGATGAAGTCGTTGTTATTTTAGACGTAGTTGTTTGAACTGGTAATGTAGTCGTTGTTGTTTCAACTGTAGGTGTTTCAACAGGTGATTTTGTTGTTTCTTTAGTTTTAGTAGGGGTTTCTTTACGTGTAGTTGTTTGAAGTGGTGATGTAGTCGTTGTAGCTTTAGTCACAGTAGTTTTTATTGGTGATGCAGTCTTTGTTACTGTAGGTGTTTGAACAGGTGATTTTGTTGTTTCTTTAGTTCTAGTAGTGGTTTCGTTACGTGTAGTTGTTTGAAGTGGTGATGTAGTCGTTGTAACTTTAGTCACAGTAGTTTTTATTGGTGATGCAGTCTTTGTTACTCTAGGTATAGTTGTTTGAACTGGTGACTTACTCGTTAATATTTTAGATGTAGTTCTTTGAGTTGGTGATGTACTTGTTGATATTTTAGGCATAGTTGTTTGAACTAATAATGTAGTCGTTGTAACTTTGGTTAAATTAATTTTATTTAGCGATGTAGTTGTTTGAACGGCTGAGGTAGTTTCTCTTTCTTTACGAGTAGTTTTTTGAACTGGTGATGTGGTCATTGTATCTTTAGGCGTTTTTGTTTGAAGTGCTGACTTAGTCGTTGTTATTTTAGGCGTAGTTATTCGAATTGGTGACGCAATCGTTGTTATTTTAGTTGTAGGTGTTTGTATAGTTGATGCTGTTTCTTTAGTCTTAATAGTTGCTACTTGAGACGTAGTTGTTTGAACTGGTGAGGTAATAGTTGTTATTTTAGGCGTAGATGTGTTAACTGCTGATGTAGTCGTTGTTATTCTAGATGTAGTTGTTGCTACTTCAGATGCAGTTGTTTGAATTGGTGATGTTTTCGTTGCTACTTTAAGCGTACTTGTTTGAACTGGTGTGATAGTCGTTATTATTTTAGGTGTAGTTGTTTTAACTGGTGATGTAGTCGTTGTTATTTTAGGCATAGTTGTTTTAGCTTGTGATGTAGTCGTTGTTATTCTAGATGTAGTTGTTACTTTAGACGTAGTTGTTTGAATTGGTGATGAATTCGTTGCTACTTTAGGCGTACTTATTTGAACTGGTGCGGTAGACGTTATTTTAAGCGTAGTTGTTTCAACTTGTGATGTATTCATTGGTATTTCAGCTGTATGTGTTTGAACAGATGATGTTGTTGTTTCTTTAGATTTAGTATTTGTTTCTTTAGGCGTAATTGTTTGAATCGGTGATGTAGTCGTAGGTGTAGTTATTTGAATTGGTAAAGTAGTTGTTAATATTTTAGCTGTAGTTGTTTGAACTGATGATGTAGTATTTGTTACTTTAGGGGTAGTTGTTTGAAGTGGTGATGTAGTTGTCAGTTCAAATGCCAAGGTTTCATTAGTTGTATGACTTAGCATTGTCTTGTCAAGTAATTCCATTGTTACATCCGGTGCTGTTGCTGTGGGTGTTTCAACAGACAAACTGTTTTGTAATTTTCCTTCATCTCTCCATGATATTGTTTCATCTTGTGCTGTTATTGTTGCTTCACCAGATGTGAAAGATGATAGCGAGTTAAGTTCTGTATCCTCAGTAGTCCACGACTTTGTTGATTTAACTTCGAAAAGGCCTAAAGTTGAAGAGGCCCTGAAATAATTTTCTGGCTCGAAATCGGTGCTCTTTCTGTTTAAGTCTAAAATGTCGTCATCATTTGTGGTGTACACGTAGGCATTTAGGTCTGTGACGATTTTGGTTTCAGCAGTGCTTTGTGGTGTAAAAGAGATTAAAGATGGCAAGCAGTTGGAAAGACTGGGCGTCACTTTCACCTGATAGAAAAAAAAATCATTATATGCGTAAATTTGCATAAAATATTGCGAGGCCATGAGATTTGAAATTTCACTTAAAGACATAACAAACGCGAAAGCAGTTAAAACTGAAATATTAAAAACAGAATCAAACGTTTGTACATTAGTAGGTATCTTTATCAATTACGTTTTTTAATTTTAAGTTAAATTTTTTTATTTAACTTTAGGGATTTAACTGATGATATTCTATTAGATTTTGGTTTGTATTGTTTTGGATATTCGCAAAAACTTCACATTAGTTATTTGCGCTAATCATCTCTAATTTTGATTGTTTGTTTGTTTGTTTTGAATTTCGCGCAAAGCTACACGAGGGCTATCTGCGCCAGCCGTCCCTAATTTAGCAGTGTAAGACTAAAGGGAGTGTCCCTATAGCGCAGTGGATAGCGCGTTGGATTTCTAATCCAAAGGTACCGGGTTCGTTCCCCGGCAGGGATACCATTGCCTGTTCTCAAGTCCAGGATGAAAAAGGAGGAGGGGTGGGCGCGAGGCTAGCAACTCCGCCCCGTAAAAACAAAACTGCTACAGAAACTGCACCAACACTTCCGTCGGCGAAGTGTTGTTGTAGCCCTATGTTCCACTAGGAACGACAGGAACTAAGAAGAAGAAGACTAGAGGGAAGGCAGCTAGTCATCACCACCCACCGTCAACTCTTGGGCTACTCTTTTACAAACGAATAGTAGGATTGACCGTCACATTATAACGGCTGAAAGGGCGAGCATGTTTGGTGGGACGGGGATGCGAACCCGCGACCCGCAGATTGCGAGTCGAGCGTCCTAACCACCTGGCCATGCCAGGCCCTCCAATTTTGAACTGATAGTCTAGAGGGAAGTTTGTTTGTTATTTTAGTTAAGTACAAAGCTCTGCCCACCACGGATATTGAAACCCGATTTCTACCGTTATAAGTCCACAAACTGGGGGCCGAGAGGGAATGCAGTTGGTTAGTGAACAACCCGAAGCTCCAATAACTGGGCTACTTTAATCGAATATTAGAACTTGATCACGGCCCCAAAGTGCGGAGTGAGATTTTGCAGCAACAGGACGTGAACACTGACTATAAAATTAAAGGGTTTACCCTCAATTTTATTAACAGCCAAAAATTGGACTTCTCATCGATGAATGTATGATAACCAATATATTTAGTCCTTTTCAGTATCCTATAACTGTGACTAATCATAAGAATATTTGTAGAGATTTAAATACGCAGACCATTTACAATAAGGAAGAATTATCATCCAGTTTACACCAAATGACACATACTTCCAGACTTTTAACACCCTTCGAGTAGAGATTTAAATACGCAGACCATTTACAATAAGGAAGAATTATCATCCAGTTTACACCAAATGACACATACTTCCAGACTTTTAACACCCTTCGAGTAGAGATTTAAATACGCAGACCATTTACAATAAGGAAGAATTATCATCCAGTTTACACCAAATGACACATACTTCCAGACTTTTAACACCCTTCCATATCGATACCGATTTTTTTTATCTAATGGAACTAACTCCTTGCCATGGTCTATGGACTGAAAAGAGGGCATGTGTAGGGCTTTTGGGGAATATCCCAAGTGCACTCAAACATGATCTGTATAAGGTGAGTCTCATTTCATTTATTTCTCATAGAGTTGGAGATAGATAACCATCTACTACACCCTTTAGTGTTAGGTCCAACAAGAAGTAGTAAATCCCAGTTTGTAAGCAAAGTTTTAACTTATCATCCTGAAGTTATTTACCCTATTCCTGAAAACATTGTATTATTTTATAGTGAATTTCATCCACTGTATACAAAATTAATGCAAAATATTCCCAACATTCAATTTGTCAAAGGCTTACATGAAAAATTTCATGATTATTTATGGTCTGATGAACCTTATCTTTTTCATCATTGATGACTTATGAGTGAAAGTAGAGAAAATAAACGAGTGTCTCAACTTTTTTACATAGAAGTCACCATGTTTTATATTTTACAGAATCTATTTCATCAGGGTACAGAAATGTGTGATATTAGTTTAAATTCTCAAAACATTATTTTGTTCAAAAACGTCAGAGACAAATCTCAGTTGAATGTTTTAGGAAGACAAATGTTTCCATCACATGTCAAATATTTTGAAAAAGGTTATCAAGATGCAATGATACAATCATATGGTTACTTACTTGTCGATGTGAAACCACAAATGCTTGGACAGATTCGCCTGAGGACGGGACTTTGTCTTGAAGATAATGTTATAGTGTATGTACCAAAGTAAGTTAAAACTGTTGTTTAACTGAATATATACTCATTTATTATCATGACTGCTGCAGAGATAGAACTAGAAGGTATTCAATTAAAGAACTTGCATTTAACTGTTTAGTCACTGGATATATATGGGTGTTTTTTGTTTAAACAACTGTTTTCGAGTAAATATATTTCAAATGCTGGTCGTCATCAGTGTAATTGGGTGATGTGGCACATTCATCTCATTCCATAGAAATCTGGTAACATCGACTATCTCTACCTTTGGAGTGTGGCTAGCTTGTGGAGAGAGAACTTTACCACAATTTATGCAAAAGAGGAGAGAGAGAAAGCCAAGTATATTGAGAAGTTTGCTGAAATTCTTTGCTACAATCTGGAGTTATTTGGTTGCCCAAGATTAATTAACTTCCAAAATAGACTCTGTCCTGTCCATTTCGTAATAACAGTTATCATCACTGTAGCATAAAACAGTATATGTTATATTTAAATGGTTGTATAAATAAACAGTTTTTATATGTTTTACTTACAATCTCTTTTCATTTATTCATCACGACACTTAGAAAATCAAACAACATCACAAGTTGCTCCATGAATTACCTAAAGAAACACGTAAACAGATTAAAGGAATAGTTACCAGAGCTAAAAGTGAGCTTATCTTGAGTATTTGTGAATGTAACATTCCCATGACACACCTACAAAAGCAGAAACTTAGATGACATAAGTCATTATTGAGAGAGTTGGCTATCTAGATAACATCAATTAAACAGAAAAGAAACTTGCCAATACAGAAAGGAAAGTTTTTACTATTACATGTGGTACCGCTACTTTCATTATTTTGTGGTTTGGTAGGACAGGCTATTGGTAACACTGTTGGAATATAAAAATATGGCTAAACTAATGGTTCTCATTTCTGAAGAACTGGGACATTTTTTTTAAAATCCAAAGTTTATGAAAGGCTGGTACATAAAGTATTAAACTCTATAGATAATGATATAACATTCAGTCATACAAAATGATATGTTACCCATAGATGACCAAACCAAATGACAAACCGACTGCTAATGTCATCAGACTTTTCATTCACAAGCCATAGAACCCATTGAAATTAAAATGGAATTGCCGACTCATGAAAATTTAGAGATCGTCGACAATGTTCCTCAGAAATATAAAAAGAAACTGAAATTCTATTAAACTTGATATGTTCCAGTCGGGATTTAACATGGAATGATTGTTGAGAATTAGTGAAAGATCCATCCCAAACAGTAACGTAATCGACCTAATCAACAACGTGCTACGAAAACGAAAGAATTTTAACCTTACAGGATGGAAAGAAATTGCAGAACTATTATCAGATATGAATATTCTCCAAGAAGTTGTTGGAAATGTAGCCAGATGGAAGTATATGAAACATGATATAGATGTTAAAAGAACTAAATGAACTGTATCTAAATGGGATAATTTTAAATAAAGTATTATTATATTATTTAATCATTTGTGTCTTGACTGTCATCAGCCTTTTGAGCTTAGTAATATCTTGAGTTGTCTGTGGTAAAGGTAAAATTAGTACTACTGTTAGAGACAAAGTTGATGATAAAAAAGTAAATATAAGTAAACAGCATAGAATATAATGTATAATAAAACCCTACAATGTATCTATTACAGTCATATACATCCTGCTAGTTTTGGAGCAGTGCAGCCTTTATTTAGATCTGCGAAAGCACTAGGTAAATCTATAACTCCAAATCAGGTTAAAGATTGGTTAAGTCGACAGAACACACACACTTTACACAAACTAGTAAAATATAAGAGTTATCATTTCAGGGATCTTGAACAATAGCAGGCTGATTTTGTGGATCACTCTAGCCTAAGTCAATATAACAATCAGTTTAAGTATTTACTCACGTGTATCCACGTGTTTTCTAAATATGGATGGGTTGTTCCACTCAAGGATAAGAAAGGTGCAACCCTTGTAAAATCTTTCAAATATATTTTAAAACAGGTTAGAAAACCTTATAAACTTCAAACTAACGCTGGTACAGACTTTACTAATCGTCTCTTTCAACAATATCTCAAGGAAGAAGACATTCGCTTCTTTACTACACATAATAAAACAGAAGCATCTATAGTAGAAATATTTAATCACACTTATACTTAGATTTGATAATAATCCCACAATAACAGAGCCCACTATAGCTTCATATACTGTTAATATGCATGTTGAATTTTATGCTCTATGTTTACTCAGATATTGAGGAACCTAGAATTGTTGGTAATGAGTATGTACTGCTGATATGAATCATTCAAGCTAAAGGTCAGAATGGAGACATGATCAGTGAAACATTTACAAATATTCAATACAGACCTGTTTCTAAACAACATTTTCAGACTATAGAGATCGATATAAAGGATGACATTGGTCGACTTATCTCATTTGAACATAGAAGATTGGTGGTAACGCTCCATCTTCGCAATCACGAGAGTTCCTTACTATCAAGAACCAGCTGTCTATGATGCATATTACGATTACCAAGTGGAAAACGATTTATCTTATTATATTGGTAGTCAATGGCAACGGGGACACGGATTTGGATACGTTTTGAGTAACTTGTTTCGATTGGCTATACCATTTCTGAAAAAGGAACATTAGCATTAGGAAAAAAGCTGTTCAGTCAGGCATAAATTTAGCATCAGATGTCATACAAGGAAAATCCTTTATCGATGCT